AAAATCAGCCACTTTTCCAGAAAAACTTGCCAGCTGTCTACACTGGCCACTTGAATTTCCACAAAAGCACTGACGATGTCATGTAAGATTGTCAGTGTTCTTGCGGAAATACTATGCTTCTCCTGTTCGGGCAAAAGTCCTTTTGTGCAAAACTTTTGCGCAAAAGGGCCAGTACAGACAGCCCTGATTTGTTTTCTGCAAAAAAGCCCCGATCGCGAAAATGGCGATTGGGGCTTTTTTGCGGAAAAGTGCTTCTAGATTGGCACAGATGCTTTTCCGCAAAAAGTGCTTTTGCGGAAAAGTGTCCATGCCAATCTAGATGCTCTGTTCCGAAAATGCTTTTAACGGAAAACTCTTCCGTTAAAAGCATTTCCGGAAAATCATGCCAGTCTAGACGTAGCCTAAGTGTTTGGGACTGCTACAATACAGAAGAAATGAATGTGGTCTATCAGCCTTGCTTCTGATAGGCTAGTGATTGATATACCAAGACAATCTTTCACATGATAGCAACCTGATGACCACACCTGTAAAGAGTTGTAATATTCTAGGTTGCAATTTTGATGGCTTGATGGAGATTCTAGCCACAATTGAATACAGTCGGTATACTGCAGGTGCACCTGCTGACACCAGGGGATGCACGGTCCTTGGGGAGATTTGCACTGGGGAAGATGTCATCAGCAGAGAATATGCAGCTGAGAATAAAGCAGGGACTTGCATGTTGGTGCTGTGCATTTTGTTAAATGATTGTCTCAGAGAATACATTGTCCCTCTGGGATGAGACTGAGGTGCAGTAATGCAGACCTTTCCTAGTCTCCCAGTACTGGCTTCCCATGTGCCATACAAGACGTTGTAAATTTCTCTGAGATTTCCTTTACCTCAAGTAGTGAAGCACAGCTGATGCCCAGTGTCTTTGCTGCCTGTGGACCTGTTCACCTCACATAATGCCCCAGGAGATATTTTGGACCAGTCTTCATCGCTGATGACAAAACTCCATGAGCAATCCCCTATTTCAGATATTATACCCCTGCATCATATTGAGGTACTGTTCGAACTCTAAGTAGTAAAACTTGGCTACTTTTTACAGAGCCCTTTATGTCCAGTCTTTCCATTATATGTACTTCTGGTGGTCCTTGGCTTTCACCTTCCTGCTGGGTTTTCTCCATCTTGGGATCTGTTGAGCCTGGGCCTAGCTGTCACCATGGATATGCTGACACCTATTTTGAGGGAAATGCTTGTTTTAGACTTGATCTAATCTCTGTATATGGCACACAGATACTATGCTGATAGATGCCATAGAAATCTGATTAATCATCATAAGCAATGTGCCATTTGACAAAAACTGTCTTACGGTCCACACACTGACCTTGGAATCTGTGTGAAACTGAACTCCAAAATGTGTGTGGAAGCTAACATTTTGTCACAACTTTTAATGTTACTTTGGTTGCCAACATGTTTGAATGTGCCAAAATTCTCCTGTAGGCTTGCAAACTGATCTGTGCAAACAAATATCGCTCTTGGGTGTCTAGTTCCCTTTTTGCATAAAAATTTACTGATCCACACTTGACTTTTTGTGCCCTTTTAGGCACCAGAAAACAAGTACAACATTAAGCATATATATTTTCATCCCATTTCTGAAAATCATTATATTTATAATAAAATAGCTAAACATGTGTTCTTTAATTTTGAGGGTATGTTTACTGGTCTGTTGCAACAGAGCAAATGGCTGTTGTTTCATATGTAAAGACTTTTAACCTTTGAACTGAATTCAGTCAAGAGGAAATGCCTGCTTCTCCCATAACATCAACCTATACAAAAAGAGGACAATGTTAATGAGTAAAAGCTGTATAGAATTAACTTAAACTTAGAAGATTGCCAATTTGGTTGTTGAATTTGCTCATTTAGACAAAGAGCAAAATGCACTTCAGTTGCTCAGATGAGCTATTTCTATCTCTTCAGACACAAAATCCATCTGTCTATTTTCTTTGTTCTTCTTTCAGGTTCTTAGACAACTATTGTTTCCTGAAATGACCAAATATCAGTATCACATAACTTGCACAATAAGTATCCATGTCCAATATAGCAAGCCCAAAATTATGGTGCATACCACCTTTGCTGATTTGATCTCCTACAATATTTTAGTTAAAAGAGAACCTGCCTTGCAGGGTTAACTTATCGGTGATGCCCATGGGAATATCTGCCAAGGTTGAGCACGTATTGAATCGCGAGGCCTTGCGGGACAATGTGCTGGACGTCTTCTTGTGACGGCCAAAATAGTTATTAACATGGAATCGGAATTTGTCATGAAGGGAGGCATAGATGAAAGGGTTATAACAGGCAGAGCTCATAGCAATCAAGTGACATGACACCTGAATGACATTCACGTACTTCTTGTCCAAGATGGTAAACTCCTCATCTACATCTCTGATGAGGTTCACTACCTGCAGAGGTAGCCAGCAGACAGCAAAGCACATGACTGAAATAATGAGAACACGGAAGGTCTTTTTCTTTTTATTGGTCCATTTGTCTTGATTGTGGTAGGCAGCCCCTGGGACATTCCTCTTCCTGAGGCGATAAGAAATGGCACAGTAGGAGATAGACACTGCAGAAAGTGGGAGCATGTAGGACAAAAGGAGCATTGAACATGAGTACAGCAGCCTCTCTTTCTCTTGGTGCTTCCAGAATTCTTCACAGATGAACATGTTATGGCCAATCTTATTGAGATCCAGATAATGGGTGTGCAGAGAAGTAGGCATAGAAACCACAATGGAGAGTAACCAAATGAAGGCCACTATGTAGATACAGGACTTGTGGCTTAGCCTTTTGCGAATGGGGTAAGCAACAACAATATATCGGTCCACTGCAATAGCTGTGAGGGACAGTACAGCCACAAATACAGTAGCAGTTTGCATCAAGGTGACAAAGTAACACATGAACACCCCAAAAAGCCAGCCCCGGATCTCAAAGGCATAGGATGCAGTCAGTGGGACGCAGAAAATGCACATGATCAGGTCAGCTGCAGCTAGATTTCCAATAAGGAAGTTAGTGGTGCTGTGCAGTTTTTTGGTGATGATGATAAGGAGAATGAGGAGTAAATTGCCTGTGCAAGCCACTGCAACCAGAGTGGCGTAGAGGGGAATGAAGAGGGGCTTCAGGTCAAAGAGGAGGTCAAGGCCAGTGAACACAGGGACCGAAGTGTTCTTCAAAGTGTTGTTTGGTAGCTGATCATGTGCCATGTTGAGTTTCACGTCTGATGACTGTTACTTATCCTTGCCTTAAACAAATTCAAACAGGGAAAGCTTGTTAGTACAAAAGAAAAATGGGTTCATGTGCTTCTTTATCAGTTTCTGTCACAGGCAATCCCCTGATTTCAAGGCCTGAAAGCTAAGATGTAGCCCAGGAGCCTATAGGCTGACCTAGAAAGAGGGGTCCAAAGGAGGCTTGCCTTTGTTTCCCCCTGACTCTGAGCTAGCTGCATGCCTGTAAGGTTTCTTGGATTCTGTTAGAATAGCCTGAGTTCTGCTCTGAATTACTTTGGCTGCCTAAGGGACTGCTATGGCACCAACAATTCACCAGAGTGCAGGGAAACCCCAGCCACACACCTTTCTCCCTGGCGTTAGGGGACTGAGTGGCATGGGAGTCACCACAGTGCAGGAGGACTCCTGCACACTGAGATGATCCTTCTATAGCAGGCTACATCATCATCATTTTTTGTTATGCTGGTGGTGCAGTGCAAAGCAGCCTGAACCTGGAGAAAGTGTCAGGTTCCAACCTTGTATCTTACCTGGTCCATTAGCTCAATCCCAACTAATGCCTAAGAGGCTCTTTCCACCTCTTGCAAGTGAGCCAGTCAGAGCTACTGGTCATAAGATTTCCATCTCTCAATGTACTTGGGTAGTCCCTGTGATCTGTAGGTCCATCCTACTTATTATTTTTTGCTGCATTGCCATGGCACTGGGAGGCTCACAGTGCATAGCACAAGGCACTGTACAAACATGTAACAAACAGAATGGTCTTTGTCCCAAAGAGCTACAGCCCAAGAACCTGACTCTCTCATAGCCCTCATACCAAACAGAAATGGCTCAGTCCTTCTTATCTCTAATGTATTTATCTTCACAAAACCTTTGTGAGGTACAGAGTTGCTATTATTGTCTCCATTGTACAGTGGGGGAATTGAAGCACAGAGAGGCTAAGGGACTTGCCAAATATCATGCAGGAAGTCTGGAAAAGCAGAGAACTGACCCAGGTCTACCAAGTTCTTGATTAGTGTTCTAACCATACAACCATCCTTCCTCTCTAGAGTTTAGGTGCTGCAAAGGAACCTTACATTAGGTGTTGCACTGCCACAGGGGTGTCAATGAAACGCAGGCCTTAAATATTTCAAATGTTAACTTATCTTCCAGGCAGCGGCACCTAGGAAAGTGACTGAGACAATGAACATATCTCCTTCACAGTCTGCTAAAGCGTGAGAAAGAGCAGTCTAATATATTACTCGTGTCTCGCTCTTCTCTCAAGCCCATGTTTTCCGTGAGGCATGGCAATGTACGCTAAGCTTTGAGATGGGCTGGCTTTAATGATGGTATCTGCCATTTTAAAATTGTTCAAAGAGGAAGACACAAAGGACAGAGTTGAAAGAATTGTCAGAGCAGATAAATCTGACAGTTCAGCTCATGCTCAATCTCACAACATGCTCCAGTTTGTCACTACTATTTCACACAGAGCAGCTCATTATCCTTTTGTCACTCAGACAGTCGTTCAGAGTCAGACCTCAAGAGCAGTGGTTCTCAACCAGGCGTACATCAGCTAATCATTTTTAACAGGCTACGTGAAAAGCACTGGCAAAGGTAGTACAGACTAAAATTGCATACAATGGCTTGTTTATACTGTTCCCTATAGTATACTATATGGCTACGTCTAGACTGGCATGATTTTCTGCAAATGCTTTTAACGGAAAACTTTTCCGTTAAAAGCATTTGCGGAAAAGAGCATCTAGATTGGCACGGATGCTTTTCCGCATTAGCACTTTTCGCAGAAAAGCGTCTGTGCCAATCTAGACGTGCTTTTGAGCAAAAAAGCCCCGATCGCCATTTTCACGATTGGGGCTTTTTTGCGCAAAACAAATCTGAGCTGTCTACACTGGCCCTTTTGCGCAAAAGCTTTTGCACAAAAGGACTTTTGCCCGAACGGGAGCAGCATAGTATTTCCGCAAGAAGCACTGATTTCTTACATGAGATCGTCAGTGTTCTTGCGGAAATTCAAGCAGCCAGTGTAGACAGCTGGCAAGTTTTTCCGCAAAAGCAACTGCCTATCAGTGTTTCTCAGCCAGGGCAGGGTTAACAAGTTACTTTATACTTATAAAAGGTAAAAATGAGAAAGTGAGCCTTTTCTCAGTGATAGTCTGCTGGGGTACTTTTGTATTTTTATATCTGATAAAAATAGATTTTAAGAGAAGTAAAACTTGAGGTATGCAAGACCAACCAGCTTCCTGAAAGGAGAACAGTAGTCTAGAAAGGTGGAGAAACACTGCTACAAAGTTGCATTTTATTGTCCCCTCTCCCAATTCTATTTCTCTATACCTAACATATCTCTCTAGTCCGGCCTGTCTCCCTCTGTTCTGTCTCTTCATTCCTGTTGGCTCTGACATTCTCTAAATGATCTACCACCATTTCCACAATAGAGGAAAACAGAACTTCTCATCCTTCTTCCCAATCCCATTTCACTGTCCTCTTTGTCTTGCAGGCATGAAGCTTGTCATCAATTCCTTCTCTCTTCTTCTCAACCCAGAGCCAGATTCTTCTTACATTGGGCTGCTTCTTACTTGCTAATATCTCTAGGATGTATCCTTTCCTCTCCATCCCACTCAACAAACACCTTGTCTAAGCCTTGGAAGTCTTACCCTCTGACTACAGCAACCCCCTTCTTTATGGCCCCTTTGCTTTTCATCTCTTCCCATCCCCTCAAGTCTGCTCAGTTTGTGTCTGTTAAAATCATCTTCCTTTCTCACCACTTAGACCGTAGGGTCTGATTTGTCTTTGCCCTGAACAGTGATCTACACCAGTGCAAAGTGCCCCTGAAATGTTAAACTCTGCTTTAGTGATGTTTTGTACTCACTGTACACTAACATGAACTCTTGTAGAAGGTGAAAGGCAATGGAGTACCAGACTACAGTCACTCCCCTCTGGGAATCTCTACATTGACTTCCTGTTGGCTTCCTTGTTGTGAAATTTAAATTTTTCACTCTCCCTTTCCAGCCTTTGAATAACTCTGTCCTCTTGTCCCATGTATCAGTTATACCATATTGATTAAATACCCTTTTATTTTACAATTTACATATACTTTTTGTTTTGATGATATATACCTATTTTCTCTTTTGAGTAATCTTCAAAGATAGGAATAACACTAGCCTAACCAGCTAATTCTGATCTCTCACTGGAGTTAATCAGGAGTAATTCCAGTGAAGCGGGTAGAGATACATCAGTGTTTAAACTAGTGTGAACACAAAATCAAATCCTGAGACTTTTAGTGTAGGAGACGAAAATTACTATAGAACGGTGAAGGGTATATTATACACTGAGACTTATACACAGAGCTTTCTGTGCATTAAGATGAAAATATACCCTATTCCTCCAATGAAAATACAGTGAATATTGCTCTGGAATGACTGGGGTATGGATAAGCAAGTATTAGTGACTTTCTGCACAGTCCTTCCAGTGTTCAAAAACACTTTGTCTAGATTAGGGCTACTCAACTATGGAAGCCCTGGGGGCCACAATGATACTGACAGCACATGCCGAGGGCCACAACTTTAGTGTGGTTGCATGTACATGCAAATATATATGCAAATAGCTTCTTTTATATTGACGGGCATGAATACAAAGATTAAGAAAAGACTACACAACATGCGGGCACCATTTAAGTCAGTTCTGCAGATATTAATAAAATGCAATATTTACCGATTTCAACCCTTGTGACAGCACTTTTAATAAACAATGACAGTTCAGGAATTTAACTACTAAAATACATATCAATAGAAGACCATTATATTGACTTGCTGTTATGGAACGTGTTCCCAGTGGAGGCCATGTTCAAAGGATCCCACCCACAGACCACATGCTAAGCCCCGTGTAAACCCAAACTGCACCATGGGTCACAAACAAATGGGTTGTGGGCTGCATGCGGCCCACAGGCCGCATGTTGAGTAGCCCTGGTGTCGAAATACATCTAAGTCAATACTAGTCCAAGAGAAGGAGGCTCCAATGTCACACTCTTAAGAGGTTTTTTGTCATGAGAGGAGCATTGGCATCAATTCAGCACTGGCTCAGAAAATGATCTGTGGTCAGTTTATTACTTACTAAAGGGAGGAAAGGTATTTTCTTTCATTTACTTACATTTTGAACATATCATGCTAAAACTAGAAATTCTATTAGGCTATGTCTACATTGCAGCCTATTTCGGAATAGGCTGCAAATGTAGGCATTCGGAATTGTAAATCAAGCCCAGGATTTAAATATCCCGCGCTTGATTTGCATCTTCCCAGCCGGGCGCCATTTATTTATTTATTAAATTTACAAGCCCGGAATAACTGCCCGCATCTACACATAGCAGTGAAATGGGCGTTCGAAATAAAGCCCTATTTCGAACTACCTGTTAAACCTCATTGCAGGAGGAATAACAGGTAGTTCAAAATAGGGCTTTCTTTCAAACGCCCGTTTCACTGCTGCGTGTAGATGTGGGCAGTTATTCCGGGCTTGTAAATTTCAAAAAATGGTGCCCGGACGGGAAGATGCAAGTCAAGCGAGGGATATTTAAATCCCGGGCTTGATTTGCAATTCCGAATGCCTACATTTGCAGCCCTATTCCGAAATAGGTTGCAAGTGTAGACATACCCTTAGTCTTTTGTCACAAATCAAAGTTGCTATATAGTTCAGGGTTACAAACTGTTTTGACTTGAATGCAACTAATATGTTGTTTAATTCACAGAGAGTTTTCTTCACCAAAAACGATCCCTTCTGGTTGCAGTTAGTGGCATGGATATTTTAGTAACTATTTTGTACTGATACTCTATAAAATAAAATCAGTAGAAGTAGAGGACTGGGTACATTCATATATGTGTCCATCCCACTTACAGCTCAGTCATCCATTTATTGCTCATTTTATTACGTGTTGCCATGGATATCTCATTTAGGGCTTATCTTCACTTACCCTGATGTTGATGCTTCAGAGATCAATCTCCCAGGGTTCAATTTAATGGGTCTAGTAAAGACCCACTAAATTGACTGCTGATGATCCCCCCGCACCCGTATTCTCTCTCACACACACACGCTTTCCCCCATAGACCCTAGTACTACATTGGGTCACGAGGACTAAGGGAAATTGACAGAAGAATTACTCCCATCCTCTCGCAATGGGGATGCCACAGAAATTCAACTTAAGATACATCGACTCCAGCTACACTATTTTCATAGCTGGAATTGCATTTCTTAGGCCGACTTTCTCTGGTAATGTAGACCTGGCCTTAGTCACATACATCTTACACAGAATATAAGCTTGTGCTCCTGTATAGCTTATCCAGTCATGTATTCTCCCATGGAAAATTCTCATAGAATGTGATGGGGATAAAACCAATAAGGTTTGGTAGAAATGTGATAGGATTATACAAACATTTCTCCAAAAAGTAATAGAAAAATGTATCCGCTGGTTTGTTTTTAATCATCCCACAAAATTCTATAACAAGGATATTCTTCTACAGTCAAGTCCACAAAAGGCTCCCAAAAAAGTATTATATTATTAAATAGGAATGTTCCATAACAATGTCTTCCCTATACATATGTATTTATCACCATATAATTATCCATGGTAGAATATCTTCTCTCCGGTTTCTTTTCATGGACTACTGGTTCCCCAGTGCATTTATCCCTAGTGATTCATACTGCTGTGAAATCAGGCCTTTTAGCAAGCAGCTCTCACCTTTGACAATTATGTTTGCCTTTTATCCTCTCTATGTTCTATGGAGTTGGCACCTGAGAGCCATCAATTTTATAACGCTTCAGGGACAACAAATTGAAGGAATTGTGAAAGTAGAACCTATGAAGAAAAAGATGTGTGAATAAGTCTCTCTCAACATGGCATGTATCTCAGTAAAGAAAAGAGGCGCTCAGCAACGGCTAGCAGACAACTCAGGTTTTAATTTCAGCAGGCCCTCCCCATTCCATAAATAAAATCAAGAGGGGAAAGATTTAGTAAATTTGTGGAAATAAACGACACCAATATAGATACCATTATACCCAGTGATTGCAATAGCTTCACTAGATCTGTGTGTACTCTCAGGAATAGCATTGATTTATCAATGAGTAGCCAGTGTAGCTGCACTGAATCTGACCCCTACTTGTTGATAAAGGCAAACTGAGAATTGGATCAGCTGAGATAATTTAGGTTTATTCCTGCTCCAGGCATGTCCTTGACTATGCTTTGGGGTTGGGATCAGTGCAACTACACTGCAGTACAGACAAGACCTAGGCTGGAGATTTTATATTTTGAATGTCTGTGCTAGCATCCATTTGTCATGCAATATGTTATTCTGTTATTTCTATCATGTACTGAGTGAGTCTTTCTGTGTGATATTTAAATGTTCAGGTTGGATGGATTTAATGTTGTTTGTTTTTCTTTTCCGAAGTAAAACCAATTATTCCTCCCCAAGAAATGTTTAACATTTCTCACAGGACTAACATTGTTGCATCTTTCCGGATATTAGATGGCAATAAATATTTTATTGCCGTCTTAATGATACAGTTGAAGGCCCAGATTTTTAAAGGTATTTAGGCATTGCTCCATTTAGTATTACAAGGTCTAACTGACGTAGGACCCTAAAGCTCATTTTCAAAAGGAACATGGGCATTATGGCTAGATCTAGGTGTATAAGTGCCACTTTAGATGCCAGAGGCTAAAATTTAGATTATCTAAACCCCCACTCAGTTGCCACCAAGGCCTAATGGGGGCTAACGTCCATAAGCGTCCAAGGTTTGCCACTGAGTATGCACACAGCTAGTGGCACCCCAGTCACATGTATGTTGCACACAGTGTGTATCATTCCTGACTACTAGTGGCTCCTTGAGGTTGCATTGACAAGATCCCTGTGCAGAAGGAGGCTACCCCAAAATCTACCCAGGTTTGTCCCCTTCCTCATAATGGGGAGATGGCATGATCAAAACTAAGTAAGTGTCATTGTGAACTGGTCACAAAGTGGGTGCGGGAATTTATAGCTGTTGTGTTGGCACATGGGGAGGAGGGTGTTATAATCACACATGACAGTCACTCCTCTCAGATTTGGTCCTGCAGCCTCTTCATCATGATGCGGGTGTGTCAAAATTGAGAAAGTGATGTTGCACTTTGGCACATGGAACAGGAGGCAAGTCATAGCACTACTTAGTTTTGGTCCTGTCACATGCTATCATTTAGCAACTCAACTCCCCATTGCACTAGATCACAATGCCACTCAATTGTGGATCCATAGCCTCTCTATCGTGATGGAGGGCAGAAGAGCTAAAACTGAGCAGTGCTACAACGCACAAACCCTTGTGCACCTGATTATAAAGCCACTCATTCATGGTGCGTGTACACAGTAGCGTTATTCTGAAATAACAATGGGAGCATCTACACAGCAACTCCATTATTTTGAAATAAATTTGAAATAACGGATGGCTTATTCCAACTTCTGGAAAACATGCCACAAAGAATAATGCCTATTCCAAAATAGCTATTTGAGAATAGCAGTAGTATGGATGCTCCACTGCTGCTATTTCGAAATAGCTCCTCCCCAGGGCCATTCAAAGTAATTACTCCCCAGTGCCTCCTAGGATTCTAAATCAAGGTAGCACATCCATTTTAGAGAAGCCTGCCTCGGACTAATTTTGAGGCTTCCCTGTAGGCTAGACACGCTATTTCAAAATGAGAGATTTAGGGGTATTTCTTCCAGAATAACTTATTTCGAAATAAGCATGCAGTGTAGACATACCCTCAATGATGGCTCCTCCACCCTTCTGTCAGTGCTGCAACCCTCACATGCTACTATAGTACCTAGTGCTCCTGCTCTTCTCAGCACTGGAAAGCAGGATGGACCTGTGTTTGCAAGCAGGGAGAGGTAAGGAGTCAAGACCAGGGCGGGGGGAACCTGTGTTGAGGCTTCTGGGAAGGGGTGGGTATAGGGTCTTATGGGTTGGGGGGGGTCATGCTAGTGAATGGTATGTTCACCCTTCCATGCAGCTGCATAAGTTCTGATGCCCAGGTGCTGAGCTTATGCCTAAGTCCCAGTGGGATCCTCAAACTAGGCTCTCCACTTACCTTTCCTCAAAGCTCCGATCGGGTAAACACGTTCACAACACACTCACCAGATTGGGCCTCACACAAAACACAAATGGAGGAAGAGGTGGTTCTGCCCTCCAATAACATTAATTCAGAACTTAGAAGACTCACAAAATCCCTAGTGCCTAATTGCTTGTTCTTAAGTTCCATGATCTGAGGTACGGTCTAGGAGGTTTGTCTGTAATCATGGGAGGATAAAGGGAAAATAGTGAAAGAGAAAATGTATGTATGGAAATGTATACAAAGAATGTAGGTCATGCTTGCAGGATAGAAGAGTCATCTGAGGAAGTAATGACGCTGAAAAAATTTGTCCCCAAATTATGGCTTGTGGGTCAAGCCCACTGGACCCTTCTGTCTGGCCCCCGAGCTCTCATCTTGGGAAGCTAGCCCCCAGTCCGTCTCCTTCTGTCTCCCTTCCCCCATAGCCTCAGCTTATCAGGCCACTAGCCCTGATGTTCTGGGTAGCACAGCTGTAGTTCCAGCCAGGTGGTACATCTGCAGCACCACAACCCCTGATGTTCTGCATGGTGCAGCTTCATCTCTGGCCAGATAGTGTGGCTGTATCACTACTACCAATGCCAGTGCTCCAGGCAGGGAACAGAGGGGTTGGATTGAGGCAGTGGGCCCCAGGAATGGTCAGGGGGTGGGGTGTATGGGGATTGAATTGGGAGTGGTGGGTCCCAGAGAGCAGTCAAATGCTGGGGAGCAGGATTGGATGGGGGACAGCCTTCCATCCAGCCTTCCATACAATTTTTGAACCCTGATGTGACTCTCAGATCAAAAAGTTTGGCCACTTTTGCCTTATAATGATAGACTCAAAGAGCTCAATCTATTTAGCTTCACAAAGAAATGGTTAAAGGGTGATTTGATTACAGTGAAAGAGATTTTTGTTTTTTAATTTAGGGCATATCTAGGAAATTATTTTAAAATAACTTTTTCCAAAATAATAACTCCCAAAATAACTATTTCAAAATAGTATGTCCATACTACAGGAAAGTCTCAAAATTAGTCCAAGGCAAGCTCCCTTAATGTGGATGCACTACCTCAATATAGAGCCCCAGAAAGCTGCCTAAACCAGGAATGACTCTGGGGAGTAGTTATTTTGAAATAGCAGCTGTGGAGTGTCCACCCTACTGCTATTTCAAAATAACTGTTTTGAAATAAGTGTTATTCCTCATGGAAAGCAGGAGTTGTTGTTATGAAATAACCAGCCCCTTATTTCAAAGTAATGGGCTTGGTAGTGTGGATGTTCCACTTGTTATTTTGAAATAACTCCCTAGGGTAGACCAGGACTTAGAGAAAATATTCATCCTTTGAGCTTCCTGCCTGAAGACGTGCATCTTTGCTTGCATGTTTTCCACCTCTTTGACTGGCCCTAAGCGTCCAGTCAATAACTCATAGAGAAAGTTTCATATTGGGTGAAAATATAAATATTAGAGATTTGTGCATCTGTCCATCTGTTTGTGAGTCTGCTTGTTCAAGAACTCCTCCTAAATATTAAGAGCTAGGGCCACCAAATTTGATATGCAACTTCCTCTTCTCCTAACTTAAGTTAGATCAGGGTTTGGTTGTGCCAGGACAACGGGAAGCACTGAGAAAGGGACTGTTTTCCATAACATGGAAAAAGAGGGGCTGTTTGGAGGAATGCAATACTGAAAGTGGCCACTAGGGGCAGTGAGCACACAAGGGAGAGCTATCCTGCAGAGTGTCCACTGGGGGCAGCCATACCACCAAAGGAGTGGCCAATCTCTTGCCTGCCACTAGACTAGGTAAGTCAGTATTTCTCACCCAGTGGTATGAATACCCTTCGGGGTACTCGAGAAAAGTCCCGGGGGGGAGGGGTATGTCAACACAACTGAAACTTGGAGAAAACTGAATTTTTGTTTTAAGTTTTACAGTGCTTTGTTATTTTTCTACTTTTTACATCCAAAATTTTCATCACCTGCCCAGCTACGATTAAGTTGTTTAAAGAAATGTGTTGCCATGGTAGAAAAAAAAATTGTGTGTCTGAAAACTGTAGGTACTGGGGGTATATATATATTTTTTAAAGTGGTACTTTATTTTAAAAAGGTTGAGAAATGCTGGGGTAAGTAGCCCTCCCTACTCCAAACTCTTCCTCCCTCTCCAGCCCGTGGCTGCAGCACTTCAGGAAAGGAGAAAAAAGGCCCCTGATATCAACCCTTTCTGAAACAAATCACCTGTGTGATAAGCAGATTGCAATGGATCCCCTACTTTGGTAATAGTTGGATGGTAGATTATTTGCTTTCCATGGTGATTTGCTTTCCTGTTTTGTGTCTCCCGTGGTTATCTTAGGGGTCGGAATAAGAATAAGGTGGGAGCATGATGTTAAGGCAATTCTCTGAGGCAGATAGTATCTATCTGTCTTTCCTATGGCACCAAGTCTCCATACAGCCATGTTGGTGTGTTTCTTTTTCAGTCAGGTTTTCTCTCTCGGGGTATATCTAAACTGCAAGCTTCTTTCAAAAGAAGCTTTTTCAGAAGAGACCACCGTGGACCAGGAGCATTTGGTGTCCCAGGGTGGGTCCTTGGAGCCCTGTTGCTGCTCCCTGTGTGGGCCAGGAGAGTCTCGGGAGGCTTGTGGCTGTGTCATGGGTCAGCAGGCCTTTAGAAATCAGAGCCACGTGGTCAAGATGCTGCTACAAGGCCAGCTTCCTACCACAAAGGCTACTTCAGGGTACCTGCAGCTTTAAGAGCTGGCAGGAGACAGGAACTATAGAGTCCTGATTAGCATGGACAGAATGTCCACCAGGGTACCTGTGCTTTTTCCTGGAGGCCTCTTCTTTTGAAAAAACTTCCTCTTTCATGTCCCCACACATCTTTTTCTGAAAGAGCTCTTTCAGAAAAGATGTTCTTCCTCATAAAATGAGGTTTACCAATGTCAAAAAAAACTCCTGTGTTCTTTTGATTTTCTTTCAAAAGAATGCAATAGCAGTGTGGACGTAAATGAAGTTTTTTCAGAAAAACTGCCATTTTTTCAAAAAAAACCTCTGCAGTGTAGACACACCCTCAGTTGGAGGACAGGGCTCCCAACATGCCCAGTGTGGCTAAAGCTAACTAGATAGTAAGCCAGGCAAGAGTTTTGTACCAAAGTGTGGGAAAGGAGAATGGCCATGCTGGGTATAGTTAGTACATTTAATGCCTTTCTATCATACAACTGCAATCTTATGAGGCCAGAAGGGGTCTAGAGCTTTTGAACTTCAGTGGAATAAGTATGCTTCATAAATGTTTTTCTTACCACCAGAGCTTTCCTCCAAACTATCTCACTTCACATAGAAGAAGTGTAGAAGAGTTAATGCAATGAAAAGAAGTGATATTGTATGCTAAACTTGCCTCCAATAATTATCCTGATCATAAAAATCCTTTATTACAAGACATAGAAAGTGCCACCCAAACATCAAGACAAGAATGAGAGGGCTGTCTTCCTTAGAACTAAAAAGAGATTTTTTGTAAGCATTATAAAAATAACTGGAAAATGCATTTGAGACATTTATTAAGTATTCATTTTTCACCGCTGTATACTTGAGAGAAATGCTAACGACAGTTTGCTTGAGAAGTGTTAAATGTACAGTTTGATTTGGCAAGCAGAGTTATTGAATGAGTGCTCATTACACTCTTTGGCTGTGTCCAGACTAGTTTAAAAAGTGTTTCATTATAAGCAGCTAACATGTCTGTAAAGATGCTAAACCTTGCCTACAGTAGCTGCTAAGTACTAATCTGATTCTTTTAAAAAATAAAAAAAAAGACTTTAAGCCTCATCTAGGCAGGACTTGTCTATGTTTGGTCCACAATTTGATAGTAAAGCGGGGATTTTTTGAATGAAGCTGAATATGGTGTCCCTCCGCCCCCTATATCCCAGTATTACACAGATGTTGCTCTAGCATGACATGTCTCCAAATCATCACATTTTCCCCTCAATTATTTTCCCCTTAGAACAATCAAGTGCTTTGTCTCTTTGAATACCTCAGCCTGTCTCTTTGCCGTGCATTGCTCAGTTTCCTCGCTGCAGGGCTGAAAGACTTTTTGTTTTTCATTTTAGAGAAACGTATTTAGCCGTTGGGCTTCCCAGCCACATCCTGCTGGTAAGAGTTCATCTTTGCTTACATGCATTTCCACCTCTTTGACCAGCCCTAGGAGGCCACCCAGTGGCTCACAGACCCAACAGTGCATGGGGAGGAGGAGCTGTCAGGTTGGCTCCTGCCTGTCAGTATTTATCTGCAGCAGAATTTTCCTGTTGCCTAAGAACAAAGGGTTTGCTCTGACTGAATGCTTGGTAAGCCAAGAGAGGCCACATCCAGCCCATTTCATTAGACTCTGGCATCTAATGTTGCTTTTGCCTTTAGTCCTCTCCTGGCTTCCTTATTAGAAGGGTTTTGTAAATGGATCTAGTGCCTCCAGGAAGGTGGTGTAATGAAATAACTTCATTCAAAGAAGTGGAGGCAGGTGGTTGCCTCTGGTTTAATGCAACACCCAGTGTGTGCCTGGATGGGTCATTTCACTGTGGTTAGATGATTCGCTTGGTACCGCACTGTGCTTTAGTGGCTAAGGGAGGGGGGCCAGTATGGAAGTGCTATAATCCCAAACTGGAGACTCACCTTATTGATTGGGCTCCTACCATGGCCATTAATATTATTGGTTATTTATATTCCAAATGCAGCTAGGAGCTCTAGTAATGGAGCAGCATCCACTGTGCTAGGTGCCTTATGAACAGAACAAAAAGATGGGTCCCTGCCCTCAAATCATTTGCAGCCATAAGCAGCAAGTTATATGAACCTGTGGTGCCCTGGCACTAGGAATGTTCCCAGCCCAGGACCGGCCTCAACCAAAACTCATTGCCTGCTTTCCCCTGTCACCCCATGTGCTTTCCTGTGAATTCCCTGGCTTTAAATTTCCTGGGCAACTGAAAATGCCCCAGGTGACCCTGCTGCTACCACTGGCAGCACAGCTGGGCTACAGCAGCCTCCTGCTACTTGTTCTCCCTGGCTGCCAGCACATGCATCCCTGTGGCCCAGGTGAAGAGGGACACTGTCTCCATAACCTGTGCTGCTCCGCTGCTGGGAGCAATGCACTGAGATACACATACCCCCTGCCACAAGGACACATATGTTGGCAGCTTCAGGGAACTAGCAGCAGGAAGCTGCTTTAGCTCCACTGTGCTGCCAGTGGTGGAGGTGGAACCCTGGGGCATTTTAAGTCACCTGGGGGTGGCAATTGGGGCTGGGGACTCCCAGGGGAGCACATGGGGCAGCAGGCAGACAGCAATGCCTGGAGATCTGTGGCCCCCTAGGAGCCACTGACCGAGGGGGGTGCCCCAGGTAAGCACAGTACCCCCATTGTCTCCCCCACACTTCCTTATGCATCCCACTCCTTCCAGAGCCTGCACCCTCTTTCCCCTGCCAACCCCCAAACACTCTCTCACAGCTTGCATCCAGGACCCGCATCCTTACCCAGCCCATTCCAGAGCCTGCGCCCATCACTCCCTTCTTACCCAAATTCCCTCCCAGAGCCCACACCCCTCCCTAACCCAAACCTTCTCTCAGAGCCTTAGGCAAGGGGGGAGGGTTGTGGGCTCTGAGTATTTTGGGCATCACCAAAAATTTCTGCAAACTTGCCACTCTTGTTTGCAGCCTAACTAGAAAATTGGAAGAAGTGAATTGTGCCTAGGAATGCTCATGATACCATCTACATGTGGTGTTAGGCTCTAAGGTGCTGCTAAACTATTTGTTGGTTTTTAGTTTTTCCAGTTACAGACTAACTCGGCTACCCCGCTGAAGCTTTAGATTGTAAATGTCATTCAGTGCAAACCCTTTACTCCAGGATGGAGATCAGATTGGTGCAGCCAAGGGAGGAGTCTGGATTTCTCAGGGTCCAGCTGGGAACCTTGGGCATTTCCTGGGGTCAAATAACTCATTTATGTCCACTCCCACCATACTGCAGCTCTCTGCCATAATCCCACGTACCCGGCAGACTGGAATTCAATAGCCAGTCACCCATGTGCGGGGGTAAGAGAACGGCCGGGGCTACGAACTGCAATTTCCCCTTCCACTAGTGTCCTTTGCCCTGCCTAAACAGCTGCTTTGCAGACTCTCTGGTGGTAGAGACCAAAACCCAGGCCTGGAGACGGAGGGGATCCGTGAAAAAGAGGACCCAGGAGCGGATCTCTCCCACACCAGCCTAAGCTGTTCTGGGGTAGTAGGCACAAAGTGTAGTAGGGAACCTGAATTAAGTTAAAACCTTGTTCGTGAATTAGCGCTGACATAGCAGACTCTCCCGCATTAAAGACCTCGTAAACAGGACGGGGAGTTCACAGGATGGGGATTTTGGAACATCACTCGCTCCCCTAAAAATTGCTTAGAACAATTTTTCAGGGAATTGGGAATCTCTGTGTTGGTGCTGCAGAATTACAGAGCAGAGGGGGGGAGAGCTGGTGGACGGGACAGGCAAGCCTGAAGCCTAGTGGTATCTACTTTTTTAAGAAGAAATGTCTTGGTGGAAGAGCCTACCCTCCTGCTAGCAATGTGGGGAAGGGGAGTCCTCGCCTTCAAACCAGCTTTGGTTATTTCAAAGCTCTCCTAGAAAGTACCGTACGCCTCACTCATCGCCTGCCATCTCAGCTGTGGACATCCACCGTATTGGCTGCTTAAGGGCCGGGGCACATGCAGCGCCCTCCTGCCTTTGCCTTTGTCTCTCCAAGGCTGTGTCCAGACTCAGGGTTTTTTTCGAAAAAACTTCACCTGTGTCTAGACTGCAGCCGCGTTCTTTCGAAATTAAATCGAAAGAATGTGGCTTTTCTTTCGACAGTGGTAAACCTAATTCCACGAGGAAGAACGCCTTCTTTCGAAAGTGCTCTTTCGAAAGAAGGCGTTCTTGAAAGCAAACAGGCTTTTTAGAAAGAGAGAATCCAGACTCACTGGGTGCTTTCTTTTGAAAAAGCGGCTTGCTTTTTCGAAAGTTCCACGTGCAGTCTAGACGCGCTCTTTCGAAAGAGGCTTGCAGTCTAGACATAGCCCAAGAGAAATAGAGGCGGCACCGGTTTGCATTCCAGACATGCATTGCATCGGCTGCTCTGCAACAGGGGTCCCCTCGGCTGGCGGAAAGCGAGAGCTCGCTGCGTGTGGAGTCAGGCTCGAGCGGCTCTGGAAGACAACACGAAGCTGCAGCCGGAGAGCCGCGGGCCCGCCTGACGGGGGGAAGCCCTTGAATTAAGGAGCTGGAGGAAAAGTCAACGGTAGTTCCGCGGGCGGGGCGGGGGACCTGGCCAGCCGGAGCAAGGGAGAGCGCGCTATACCCCGTAACAGTCAAGCCACTCGGACACTTACTGAGTCAAGCCGCTGGCTGGTCCGAGATCCTCCCGCAGCGTCGGTGTGGAGGGTGCCCCGCAGACCTTTGCTGGAGGAGCCGTGTCGCGGGGCTGTGTGTCAGGGCGCCGGCGGGGCTGTATCTCGGCGCTGTATGTCGGGCCGCTGGCCGGCAGCGCGCCGGGGTAGCCAGTCAGACAGCGCTGACAACTCGCGCCGTCTCCCGCGCGCGGACAAACTTCGCCCTGGGAGGCGCGTCTTGCAGACAGACACGGGCTAGGTGACGAATCGTGGCTGAAAAGCGTTTCCATTCAAAGGGGGCTGGGCACCCACGGGGGGGCTGCAATGTGCTTGCTGATGCGAGGAAAGCTGCCAACTACAGTCCTCCCCCCTTCCCCCGCTAGGAGGGTGGGAGGGCGGGCGGCGGAGGCAGGGGGGAAACGCTGCCAGTGTCACTGGGACTGCTATAGCAGTGGG